AGCTGAGCTGGGCTCACTTTTGAAAAGTAATTATTTCAAGCAAAGGCAAGGCGCCGGGGGTTTTCTAAGCCCTTTTTTTTTCTTTTTGTCTCTTGTTTTTTTTTTTTAGCAGCTGTCACTTTGGCTTGACATTTCGCTGGCTCTCACTCTCTCTCTCTCTCTCTCTTTCTATTTATTCCGCATTTCTCACCTTTTTCAGTTTGCTTGTTTACATGGACAATAATTATAAAAATTTACGTTGCATTGTAATTGTTAGAATAAATCAATGTCAAAGGGAATTCATCTGTATGCAACCCCCTTCTGGTGACTTTTCCCCCTTGCAACCCCTTGAAAACGAACGCCTCCTGGCTCCTGACTGGGTTTTTGTTTCGATTTAATTGCTTGTTAAAGTTGAATTGTGCTGCGATTGCACGTTGCACACATTGCACTTTGCCGGGGAGACTTAATGATGCTGGAATTTGCTGACTTTGTACCTTTTGGTACTCCCCAAGTGTAGGGGAGTGAAAAGTCCGAGGACAGTTTCCTTCGACAAAATCAACTTTGACTTCAACGCTGGCAGACAATTTCCTTGCGGCATATGAGTGCAACAAATTACAGAAATCATTCGAAGGAAAATCCCTACATTTTTTGGGGGAAAACATTTTTGCATTTTTACTCGGACAAAAGCAGTCCCAAATGGGGGCTTCATTAAATGTTGGACTCAAGCCGAGAGCCAAACCAAATTGCACTACGAAAAATGATGATGCCCCCTCTCAATCCAATTGCAAAATGTTTGCCATCGTTTTGGCCAGGCCAAAAAGGAAAAAAATGAAGTAAAAAGAATGGAATTCGGGGACAGACATTTGAAGTATTAAATAATTTGGCGCCATTGTGTTCATACCACACGACCAGCCCTGGAAATTCTGCCATGTTTATATCTCCATCCATGTGCTTCTCCACTTTCAAATTATTTCTTCATTTTCCACACAAATATGCACAAATAATAGAAGAAAAAAACAAGCAGCTGTCGGTGGAGAAGAAAAAGGCGGAGTTGAGAGTGGAAAATGGCACAAGGCATTGTCGTTGTGACTTCCGTGGGATCCTTAGATAAGGATTTGCTGGAATAATCGTAAATAGAAAGGGTATTTCTGATATTACAAGAAGTAGCTATGTGGCATGAGAGGATTCTGAAAGTGTTAGAAGATGTTTAATTTATGATTTACATCATACTATAAACTATATAAAACTAAGATCAAGAACACATCTGAGAGTTCCTCTTTTTCCCCTCAACACTTTATTGTTTTTCCAATCGAAAGACCATCAACACTTCGCCTATGTCCCTTAACATTTAGTTAGTTTTTCTCAGTTTTGTGTTTGCCGTTGTCATTATGTAGTTGTCTGCATTATTTGCCGTTTGATTCTTACAATTTGTGAACCATGTCGGGATGTTTGCATGCAATGACAAAAGGATGATGACAATAATGATGCTGCTGCTGCTGCTGCCAGCCAACTCCTTTGGCATGTTTTTATTTCTAGCAATGCATTCAGCCCTTGTCGTCTAGAATAAACAACGTAATTGCGAGTTTGTGTGGGCGACACAGCAGCATCAACATCAACTGGAACACCAAATACAAGCAACTTCTGCCACCGCAAGAAGAAATGCATCTAAGCTGGCGACAAATAATCCCAAATGGCATAGAATTCTTCGGCATTGATGCTGGGGACGTTACAAGGAAAAAAAGATGCCCATCCGCTGCATCTATATCCATCATAAATGTCAGCTGCTTTACGATCGGGTTGCCCTTTGACTGTTTCGCTGTACGTCTTTGCTTTTGCTTTGGATGGGATGTGGTGAGGCGCTTCAAAAGAAGGCCGGAAAGGCCTCTGATGCATGCAACTTATACAAACACTGGGAACTGGGAACTGGGTACTGAAAACCGGGAACTACGGCAGAACACGCATACAACAATAAAATTTATAGCATAACGTGTATAAAACGGCACGCGGCTCATTCCCGGAACACATGTTGCATCTCCTACAAGCAGCCATCCCATGTTTGCAGGGGGCGACCAAAAACAAGGGCAAGCTCTTCCGCACAGTGGTTGGAAATTGTCAATAAAATGAAGAAAATTTCAATATTTTAGGGTAATTTTAATTAGTTTTTAAAACTCTTTTTAAGTAACTATAATAATTTAAAAAAATTTTAAGATTTTTTCCAAGCATTCTTAAAAATGTAGAATTTTTAAACTAAATTTTTGTTTCTCATTTTCTGGGTTAAAAAGTCTGTTTAAAGTAAAAATCTTTTCATATCTTAGGAAACCCTTGCCCAGACTAAACTTCCTATTCAAGTTAATCACTATTTTCTCTTCAATGTTTGTAAGTTTTATTTTCATTTTGGCCTATTATAAAATTGCCATTGACTGCCATAAACGGAAATAGCTGCAATCTCAACTCTTTTTCAGCCTGAAAGCCAATTAATTGCCTGCTAATCCGAGGACACTGTGCCGAGGAATGTCATTTAGCTGGCTTTGTTTACTTCATAATTTGTTTTTGCGTTGTTGTATTCATCTTTTGAGTTTTCAGTTTTTCGACCACAGAAAAACCTTTCATTTTCCATTTTTTTTTTTTGTCTTTTAGCTGGCACCGCGCTCCGTTTTACGAGCCTATCTGCCAGATTGTTTGGGTCACATTTTATATTTTTGCTATTCTTCTTCCGCCGGCAAGGCCTGTCATTCCCAAACCAACAAACCAACCAACCAACTCCAGCAAAGGAGAAAAAATAAACATTGTTTTTTCCTCTGCCTTGGTTGGGCAATTAAACTGCAGTTTGGTTGTTAAACATTTATGCCATGCTCTCGACTTTTTGACTTGACTTGACTTTCGGTCTGAGTGATTTGTTGTATGTATGTATGAGAGAGTATACAAGGGGGCTATTTTGCGGTGAGGAGGCGTGGCTGTAAGAGAAAAATGCAACAACTTTGTTGGCCGACCAGTGATCAAGTTGTCAAACATTTTTAAACTCCCCCATGTAACACGGCACTCGAAAGATACGAAAAAATTGCATGTACAAATTCCATTTGAATTGTTTTGCAAATTTCATTTGGCTTCTGCAGGAGGGTGGGTGGAAACTGCAAGAGGTTAGAGGTTTATATCCCATAGACAGCTGGCTACCATAACGGACATCCGGCTAATGCGATCCTATTCCATTTCTGGTTCCGGTTTTTACGCTTGCGCACGATTTTCGCAACATTTTCTCTTCGCTCGAGTGCTTCGATGTACTCGAAAAGTGTTCCCAAAAATTGAACTGCAGTCGCATGTCCAGTGCCCCTATTTCACATGGATTACACGGAAATAATGGCGCATAAATCCGGCAATGGGAATGCCACGGCAAAATGCAATTCAATGGCCGTTGATTGCCGGTTTTTGCACATTTCTGGTGGCCAAAGGGTCGTCCGACCGCTGAGAGTCCTTCTGTGGACTTTGGAGTGGGTAAGGGGGGTGGAAATCGAGTGGTCAGGCAGGGGATGACAATAACAATGGTGGCGCATAGGTGATCATGGATGCGTAATTGTTTATTGGTTTTGCGTTAAGAATTTGTTGTGAAGAAAACTGTGATTGTTTTTCACAATATGGGTCGAGAGGGGGAGATACTCTTTGTGGGGTGAAAAATGTTACACAATTTCCAGGAAAATTCGGTTAATTCGGCATAGTTTTACCTGAGTTTATCTCTTAAAATTCACAAGAAATAACCTTACTAAACAGCTTTCCATTTTCATATTAAAACTTTAACCAAATTTTCCCCCAAAACCTTAAACATAAATCAGAGTCTAGCATAAGTTTGCCGACTGAGTGCCACTGCAGCAGGCTAATTTGTGATTTTAATTTGGTTTATTGCCGCATAGACAGTGCAGAGATGCCAAAAGAAAAGCGGAGTACAGAAAAAAACCAGAGAAAAATATGAGGAAGAGTAGCCGCAGACAGGCTAAAGGCTTTTCGGTTGCCAGGAAAATGCTGCTCTGCAGCTGCTTTGAAGAGCCGCCAAATCCGGAGTTTGAAACCTCCCCGAATCTCTCCCTCCTAGCAAAAATGCGACATTATTTTGTAGTGAAACTGAAGAGGTTGCCGCATGTTGCAGAAAAATGTCGCAGAAAATAGAAACCAAGGTCGCGTGTGGCACGTGATGGGAAAACTGGAGAAGCACACGCACACGTCGATCGGATCACAACATAATCCGGCCCAGAACCAAGGTTATCACTTTGGTAAATATCTCTCCACTCCCTCTCCGGATATCGAATATCAATCAATTGGCTGAGCAATGTCACTCGATTCCCAATGTCATGCTCTAATCACCCAAAAGATTCTCAACACATTTTGCAAATTGCTTTTCAGTTTTCCAAATTCAGTGGGAACGGGGAAACAAGGGAAAGAGCTTCATTTCGAGGGTTACTTGAAGTGCGGGCAATGAGGAAAATATATTACAATTTCACTCTCTATTATTCTTTGTTCTATATGCCCAGACTTGTGAAGGTTATCAGCTTGCCAGATAAGCAACTGCAGTTTGGAATATAATAAAAAAAGAATGAAAATGAAAATTAAGCCTCATATTCTTTCGAAATGTTAGGCGGCTCATGTTTCAACTTTTCAGAGCAGAGACAGCCAGACATCTAGCATCAAATTCCAATTGAAATGAACCATTAAAAACCCAAAACAAAATTGAAGTATAAACAAAGAGTGATTATTGTTGATAAGCAACTAAGATTCTTTAGTTTTTGGTTTAGATGTCCCCTAAGGGTAAAAAAATTAAAATAAATTTTCTTAAAGAGAGAAAACCCAGAGATGTTTACAATTTTCTGGCAACTGAACTTGCCTTAACCTTATTATTTACTTTAATGAAATTAAGCCTCCTGTTTTTATATATAGATTTTCTAATCAGTTTCTATATACATATACTCTCTCGCAGATTGCAAAAAGAGCAGTTTATGGTGCTAAGTTTAAATATTTTTAAGATTACATTCATTTAAGTTCAGCAAGCAGAAACATCAACAACGTGTTAAGATCTCAGCTAAAAATGAAAAAATATATAGTATTTTTTATACTTTTGTTAATTTCACAACAAACTTTGTGTTCCAATGAAAGACTTCAAAGTATAATCGGTGGCTATGGCCTACTAATTGCAGCTAAGGAGCAGGAACTACAGGAACTGGAAGCCCAAATCAACGAAACTTTGAAAATGTTAAACGAAATCAAGTTAAATAACACCGAAGTCTTGGAGCTGGCTCAACTTAGAAGGAACCTTCAGGAAAAAGAGGAAATACTACGAGTCTGCGAAGACAGCCTGAAAAATCAGGCAACCAGCTCAGCATTCTGGAATACACTGAAAGATGTGGTACGACCCAAGGTAGATAAAAAACTAAGTTCTGAAAAAGTGGAAACCAATCAAACTACAACGTGGGAAATTATAAAAAATAATTGGAGGGATATACCCCGCCAGATTGTCATTTATTTTGCTGGGAATGAAGAAACTACGGAAAATACTCCTTAATAAAACGAAAATTGTAATCTAAAAAATATATTTTGTTTAATTTTTATTTAATTTATCATGTAAATGAGTTTCATTTTATGCCTAAGATTTGACGAACTATAAAATATATATAAAATCCGGCATATTTATGAACCGAATCACATTAGCATAAACGTTGTTTTCTCAACCAGCAGCAATCATAACAAGGTTATCCCAAAGACGAGAAGATCCTCAAAACACTTGGCGACATTGACGATGTGTGGTCCAGAAGTCAAAGGATTGGGGAGACTTTTTTCAGAGACCAGACAGCCAGACATCTAGCATCAAATTCCAATTGAAATGAACCATTAAAAACCCAAAACAAACTTGAAGTATAAACAAAGAGTGATTATAGGAGATAAGAGTGAAAACCCTGAAGATGTTTACACTTTCGTGGCAACTGTTCCTTTCTTTACTTTCTTTCTTTGTTCAACTAAAGTCACATATTTTTTATTAATAGATTTTCTTAATCATTTTCTATATATACTCTCTGCAGATTGCAAAGAGCTTTTATGGTGGTAAGTATAAAAATTACATTCATTGTAGTTCATCACGCAGAAGCATCAACAACGTATTCAGATCTCAATTCAAAATGAAAAAATATAGTGTATTCTTTATACTTTTATTAATTTCACAACAATGTTTGTGTTCCAATGAGAGAATGCAAGGTGTAATCGGTTTTTATGGTCTACTAATTGGAGCTAGGGAGCAGGAACTACAAGAGCTGGAATCTAAATTAAACGAAACTTTGAAAAGGATAAATGAAATTAAGAAAAATAACTCCGAGGTCTTACAGTTGGATCAACTTACAAGGAACCTTCAGGAAAAAGAAGAAAAGCTTCGAGTCTGCGAAAAGAATCTCGAAAATCAGGCAACCAGTTCCACCTTCTGGAATATATTGATAGATATGGTACAACCCAAGGATGAAAAACAAGGTTCCAAAGTGAAAGCCCCTTGAGAAACTATAATAAAAATTTGGAGGAATATAACAAAGAACGAAGAAAATAACTATAATACTCCTTAATAAAACGAATTTGTAATCTGAAAAATATATTTTCATTAATTTTTAATGTAAATGAGTTTAATTTTATGCCTAAGATTTGACGAATTCATCGTTTTCCCTGCCCAAAAGCTAGACAAACGCTTTCCTATCTAAGGTCCAGCATATTTATGGACCGAATCGCATCATCATAAACGTTGTTTCCAGATCTCGACCAGCAGCAATCAAAACAAAGCCAACCCAAAGACGAGAAGATGCCCATATATCTACAGGAATATAGGAATGGGCGGTCGCAGTTCTATGCAATTAGAGACAGCGCCCTGATAGATAAAAAAAAAACAGGAAAATACCAAAAAAGATGCGCTCAAACTGTAACAAATATAAATAACAAAGACAAAAAAACGTATTTTGTTAAGCATTTTCTTTTCATTTTTCTTTTATGGCCAGCCCATAAAAGCCACACACAGCCAGCGCCCCTGGATTGAGTCCGAGATGATACCATCATATCCAGCCCAGCACTTGGCGACACTGACGACGTGTGGTCCAAAAAAGTCCAAGTGATTGGGATTGGGGAAATGGGAAACTGAATCCGAATCTGAATCCGAATCCGCATCGGAATTGGAGTCAGACCACAGCTCTGAATTATGAAACACTTTCCGCAGAGAAAAGGAAAAAAGTCGTGCAATAAATAAAACACTTCAAAAGTGCACTTAAGATAACAACGGAAAAAAGCCAAGAGGCTGGGGGAAAATGAGACCAAAGACAAAAGATGTGCCCCAAGAAGTGTGAGATGAGATGAGATGAGTCTCAGAGTCTGGGTAATATGTGGGTCATCTCAGACTCAACAATTTCTGCCTGCGGCTTGCATTTGAAACTGAGAAGTGGATAGAGTTTTTATACTGAAAAGACTATTCTGAGGGTTAATAAAAATTAAAGTTCTTATATAGGTTACTAAAATTTCAACTAACTGTGTTCATCTACAAATTTATACATATGTAGATTAATTCAGAGGCGCTCATATTCGTCTTACGGCAGAGCATTTACTAACACAAATGTAAGAACACATGCTCATATGTAGGATTCTTTGCAGCTGTGCACTGAGAGAAAAAAAACTGTTTGCCAATTCCACTGCGAAATTGACTCTTAAGTGCAAAAAGAAGTTATACAGAATGAATTTCAGTGCAAGTGTTCGAGGATGATCCAGAAAAAACCAGAAAAAAATATTTTACAGTTAGCGACAGAATGAGTCGAAAAGAAGAAAACGAAAAATTTGTTAGTGGAATAGCAAAAAGTTCGAGGATGATCGATGAAGAAACAAAAACAAAGCGGAAAGAGGAAAAGGAAAAATTCTTAGTGGAATAGCAAGGAATTCGAGGATGATCGAGGAAGAAACAAAAACAAATTATATTACAGTTGGCGACGAAATGAGACGGAAAGAGGAAAACGAAAAATTGTTAGTGGAATAGCACCGCAAACGCTCAAAGCTTATGAGAGAGCAAATCCATATGCAGAGAGCATTTACAAAAACAAATGAGCACAGGCGTTGAGCAGCACTGGTTTATTTACTAAGATTTCCACTTGCTTAACTTAAAGTTAGCTTACATTACCTTGTAACTATTACTATACCTTTTCATTGCCCTATAATTCCCATTGACTTGTCCATTCCCAAGTCCTTATTAAACATTAATCAAGCTCACACTAAGTCCTTTGCCATAACGACCCCTAACAAATGCAGACATCAGCAGCTCCAGTTTCAATGTCAGACAGAATCAATAAATTGCAGAAAAGGCTGTCATTGTTTTCGGGAGATACAACCAATGGATATTACTTCCAGGTGATTTGCTGTGTGTGTCCATGCCTTACACTCCACTGAACTCCATTCGATCCTTTTGCATGCCGAGTTGGGCCCAAAAATCAGGAGCATATTTTCCACGTGCACTCAGTCCATATCGAACTTGGAAATCCCTATCCCTATCCCCTAGCCCAAAAAAATTATACCGGGCGCACTTACGCCTGACTGAATTTTTCACACGTTCTCGGACATCCTATGGTCCCTTCCTTACCTTCGATTTTGGCAATCGGCCCAGAGAGCAGGGCCCCCAGGCAAAAGTCGAGGCTGGGATCATAAAGCAAATTACCCAGGTCGTGGCTTCGGATACATATGGTTTGCTCTTGGGTGCTGGATGCTGGATACTGCAGGAGGAGGAAGGGGTAGGGGATCTCCAAAAATAGCTGTCAATTGGGCAATGCCAAAAGTTCTCCCGGGCATTTTTCCCTTCTCCTTACCATGCTACACACACACACAGAAATTGAGGCAGGCATAATTTATAATTCAATGAGTTAAAGTTGAATGCAGCACACGGCATTTAACCCACCATCATTAGTGAAGGAGCTAAAAGGGGCAGGGGTAACGCTCATGGGTTAAGGAAGAGACCCAAAACACATCGGGCTTTGTGGCCCTCGGGCGCATGCCACACAATTCACCTTGAAGCCAAACTCAGAAGCGAAGATTAATTGCCGCTGCCTTTTGTTCGGCGACTACGTATCATGGGCCTCTCAGTACTTTGCTCTCTCTGTTTCTCTGGGCTGTTCATATATCTCAGCTATGCATCTTTGAATTAGAGATGGCAAAAAAGCTTTAGGGAAAAACCTTTTATTAGCTTAAGAAAAAGAGTAGCTGTTTGTGTTCGAACTAGTGCCTCAGGGTGCACAATTTTTCCATCTATCTAAGTAGATCAAACTCAAATCTTTAACCTAAATTATGAAATATATTTGTGTATTAAATTTCTTAATTTTAACCTTTAGTTAGTATCTTTAAAGAGAGAAAACTTCCTTCGATCCCACATCAGGCTGCCATCTCAAAGATATCCCTCTCTTCGTGTACAACTCTCATGGCGATAAGGAATTTTATTCATTGCTGGTAACCCCGAACGAATCACCCTACTCCCTACACCCTAACCCGTTCCTCCACCCACTGCCACGATATAACTCAAAAGGGCAGGCAGCACACGTAATTGCTTTTTGTTTGGCGTCTCATTTTAGTTACGGTCTGGCAACTGGCGACCGGCAACTGATGATGCTCATACGCACGGATCTGAAGGTGACTTAGCGACCCAAATGGAGTGGAGAGTGAATGATGATGGGCAGGGAGGGGGTTATCGCGCCTACGAAAATAGGTGTCGCCAAGGCGATTAGACCTGGCCAAAGAGACTATGATGATGATGATGATGATGAGGAAGAAGAGCGGGCCAGTGGCCAACGAACATGAATCAAAACCAAAGGGCTAGAAGTCCAGGGTTTCGTTCGTTAACTCCGACTCGACTGTCAACCGCACACACAATTCTCGTTGAGTAATGCTGCGCCCATTTGAATTATTGCTGTCGCCATGACCCTCACATTCCCTTAATTTTTTAGGCCAGTTAGCTAAAAAAAAGGGTTCTTATTTAACCAGAATTCATGTGTTTTCTAACGCACTCTTCAAGCCCAGAAAACGATGATGGTGATGCTGATAGTGGGAATGATGTGTGGAGTGATCTATTTCGAAACTCTTTGGTTTGATAAGGCAATGGATTTACATTCAGTTAAGTTGATGGTTAAGTGAAAAATGGGTTAAAGATAAAAGAAAGAATGTATCTTGGACTATGTTTGGTGATCAATTAATCAAAAGAAAGGTTAGGAAGTGGTTTTAAGTGAGTTTTTGGCAGTTAACTTAGATACTTTCTTGTACTACAGCTTGTCTAAATACTTCCCAACTAATTCAATTCTAACAATCATAAACTCCAAAGTGTCAGAAGTTTACATCCATGATGGCTCACTCTATTAACGATCCAAAATTTCCAATTGAATCAGCCGGTCGTAAAAGTATAAAGTTCATGTTCTGCTGTGAGTTTTGGGGATTATGAAATCCACTTTGGGCATATATCATTGTGACATGTTTTATGGTCACACTTTAATTGACAAACAAGATCCATTTGTTTCAACATTTTGCATTACATTTCCGGCTCATTGCGCATTCCAATCCAATTACAAT